CGATGCTTAAGTCAGCAATAATTGGGGCTACCTTTAGGGCGGAGATAAAAAGAGCTTAGGGTTGGTTTCAATTACCTTTCTGAGGTGGCCTCTGGGGGTATTTATAGGATCCAATGAGGAACCCACGTGGCATGCCAAGCAAGATAATCGGAGCCTGACGTGTCCCTCCAGACGGTTATTCCGGGACCGGGAATTTGAGGGGTATCCAGATGCACAAGCGTCCACCATACTTGCTGTGCCACTCATCGTAAGGGATCAGGTGCGGGCATGCTTATTGTCCTTGTCATGCAACCATTTGAGCGGGAAGCTTTGGATTTATTCCTCACTTTGGTCATAAAGGAATTATTGTAGCAGTTCGAGGCTTGGCACCTCGGACCTATCCTTACACTATTCCCCCCCGAAGTCATTCACTTGTGAATGATGTTATTGCGAATGTTGAGGGGAGTGCATAAACAAAGAGAATGAGGATAGGTTGTGGATGTAAGAAGAAGAAATAAAGTCTGTAACTTAAATGTAAACATAGCCGTAGCTAATAATGAAATATGTAACAGTGGACTACACTGGGAGTGTCTTAAATAGAATATGACCGGAGTGACCATGGCTGTGGTCGTGTAAAAATAATGACTAGAATTAATCGTGACTGCAGCCATAGTAAAAAATGATGACCGGAGTCTTGGTGGTCGTATCCATAATAAAATATGATGACCGGAGTCATGATGGCCGGAGCCGAGGTAGAGCAGGTGACATGTAGTCACAGTAACCAGAACCGAAGTAAAACATGTGTCTCTATGGCCGGAGCCGAAGTAAAACACAATGTCAGTTTAAAAGTGTAATTGTATAAGTAAACAGAAGTGCTGAGCTAGGCTTAAATATAAAAATGGGAGTCAAAATGGCCGGAACCATAATAAAATATAATGACCGGAGTCATAATGGCCGGAGCCGAAATAAAATGTGTGATACAGGATCACTGTGGCCGAAGTCGATGTGAAATGTAATGCAGCATTATTGTGGCCAGAACCGAAGTGAAATACTTGACAAAATTGAGAAAAATAAACAAAGGTGTTGAAATGGTCGTGAGTGGGTTCGTTCTGAAAAATCTGACAAAGGGGTAACACATGGTGTGACAGTTGTCCTTGAAATGACGTGCGCAATAAATGTGGCCGTAAAAAGATAACTGCGACAGTTAAACGGGTGAATTAAAAAACAAACCGTCAAGTTCCAAACGGTACCGTTTGGGATTGCCCGTTGAATTCCAAACGTGGTCAACAGGGACCGTAAGATTAAACGAATCTCAACCGTTGAGATCTAATTTTGCCTAGAAGTATAAATAGGCATTTTTTCTGCAGAAAAAGGTTTACTTGCATTCCTTTTCTTGCAAAACTTCTGCGAGAAGCTTTACTGTGCGTTTCTTGTGCGTGAACTGCAGCATCAACTGGGGAACTCTAAATCAAGTCTTTCGAAACCGAGATCAGGTAATGTAGACGGAACTCTGATTTTAAGTTAATTGAAGTGTCTTTCTCCTTTCTCCCTTTCTGTGATTGATTTAGAGTTCTTTGAAGGAAGTTAGGGTTAGAGATGAGAGGGATTTTGAATGT